ATCCACTATGTATTTTATACTTATAACACATTTCAGTCTGGACTAGCCGCATTTCAAGTGCTCAGTAGATACATGTGGCTAGTGCTATCACTTGGAAAGCTCAGGTTTGACACATTCTGCCGCGCCTACATGCCCACAGTCACTCAGCGAGGAAGTTGGTAGATCCAGTAGTTTTGCTCAGTATTTTGGACTCTTGGCCCTTCTCATGACACTGACTTTTCCGTAAGTGCAAAATTCTGACACCTAGCTTGGGTTTGGCATTTTCAGGGTTTGAGAGGATTCAGGCAGGCAAGTAATGGAAACAGAAAAATAAAAGACATGACTAAATTTGAAAATACTGCAGTAGTAGCAGTGATCACATTAAGAATCTCCAGGCGACAACTTCTGATAGATGCAGAAAGAGTTGGCCTCTTGCTCACAGTGAGAGGGATATGAGGCTAGACACGTGCAACTAGCTATGGGGAAAACAGGCCCAGCTGAGAAGGCTGATATTACAACTCAGGTGGTTTGGATGTGAGGCAAACAGGGCGTCTGCAATGGGGTGGATAAGCAAGAGGATGAAGCCCCTTCACCTCTGCTTGCGGGAAACCAACTCACCGGCCCTTGGGGGATGACTGGGTGGTTTACAATATCCAATAGGTGTGGAAAACTCAGGTGTTGCTGTGGAGTGAAGTGAGGGTATGCCTCAGTGCAGTGGTCAGGAGACAGCAAGAGGAATTTAGGGGGCAGTCCTTGGTCCTAACTCTTTGGGCAGAGACTCTCTCTGGTGGGGGCCAGAGATAAGCCTGAGGTTTGGTGTCTCTTGAGTCCTGGTGGTGGCGGGTGTTTCCTGACTCCACACTGACATCCCTGTAAAGTTTATCTTTTTCCTAAAAAACTACTAGTATATGCTACCTTTCAACACTTTGTTGTTATTGTTGCTTTTCAGCGTTTGCACAAAACTTTGCACTGGTTTCCATTAGTTGTGCTTTTGACTGGCTTGGTTCTGCATTTTGTCAATGTGCATGATTTTGCTGCAGATTGAAAACATAAATATTGGTTGAAAATTCTATAATTTGGTGTTTGAATCTTCTAAACCATAATGGGATGGGTAAATCTAGGGAGGTCCTGATACAAGATATGCTTAGGGAATTAGAATGTTGATTTAGGGATTTGGGTCAGGCCGAGAAACAACTCTAGGAATTCTGATCTGAGGGTGAGTTGCTAGGGTGGCTACATGAGATGGCAGGGGCGTGGGCATAATTGTGACCCTGGAGAGAATTCAGATTGCCTGAGCTCTTTCACTCATGTAATTTCTCTTGCTGAGAACTCACTCCCTTTTCTCTAATACTAATTTTAAAAATTAGTATTCTCTCCAATAGTAATTTAAGAATTTCCTTCACAATTTTTATTAAATCAACCCATTCATTCATTCATATATTTATTAAATATATTCCTTCAGTGTGCAAATGTTTATTGGACATGAAATGCCAAGCACTGGGCTAGGTGCTGGAAATTCAAAACCAAGGCCTTCATCTCCATCCTCAAGAAGCTCGCCACCTGGTGAATTCTATCTACATGAACTCCCCTGGCTTGAGCCAACATCGTCTATCCAGTCATTCCTCAGTATTCATGTAATTGGTTTTGTGTTCAATTTGTTTTTATTCCTAGGATATTCTCTGAAGAGGCCTGCCTCCCCTAAGAGACTAGACATTTTCATTAGCAAACATTATGCTTTTTTCTTTCTTTATAGCTCTTCATAGGGCCTGATACTTTGCATAGAGTGGGGCCTAATACATATTGTTAACCTTCTTTCCAGGTTGCGTGAATGGTGTCAGTTAATTATTATTTTTACACATGATTATTGGTATTTCTAATGGAGGTTAGAGGGTTTTTGGGGACTGACTTAACAGATATGAAATGTTTCACCCCAACACAGCCTCTATAGTCAGTCTGTAGACTAAACACGGCCTCTGTTGTCCTTTCACACACCAGATACCCTAAAGACACTCTCTTCTGAAACTATTGTTGTATGTTTGGCATTAGTTTTTAATGACAGGGGGTTAAATTAAGGCTATATCTATCTGGGTATCTTTCCTGTGTGTCGCAGCTGTTCAAGAAGTACAGCTTTAGGGAGTTCCCCTAATGAAGTGCATACACAGTAACTTTCCTTCAAGCTGTCAGTGAGGAATGCTGAGGTATTCAAGTGCATTTCAGTGACCCCTTACTCTAGAGGGAACCCAGCGTTGGAACAAATTTTTATAAATAATACACTGTTTGCTTTGCGGCGCTGATAATTTCCTCCTGTCTTTGAGGCTGTCAAATAACCAGGAGGCTTGTTGTTTCTTAGGACAAAGGTATTTGCAGGGGAACTGATCAAACTATTATTATTAATAATCTCATTACTGAGGCATCACCAATGCTTTTGTGCATTTGAGGCTACCAAATAGATTAAAGTTGTGTTCTGAAAACTATGGCACACAGGAACAAAGCAGCTTACGAGTGCAGTGGGGGGAGGGCACATTTGTGTTTGAGAGAATTGCTATCTCATTCCTGCAGGAATGCAACCCCTTTGGAAGGAGGTCTCTAAAGGATTGGTCATAGAAGTCCCTAAAGGTAGTCATGACTACCGGCTACCATTGTTAATGAGATTTTTTTCTGACAAGGGCACTGATATGCTTCTTGTTAAAAGGGACAAGGAAAGCTCATTATAGCCACAGACAGAGGCTACTAGCAAATAAGAGACCTTGCCCTTTGCTTTGGTGGGAATCAGGAGCAAGAGGGGACTTGTGATGGGAGGGAGAGAAAAGTTCTCCTCTCTGTATCCATAGTCATAGCATTCAATCTCGGGATAATGGATTCACGTGTACCAGGTACACATGCCCTATGCTTTTCCTGTCTTGAACCGGACATCTAAGTGGCGGGAACATTCAGCCAAAGAGGCCAAGGCTGAATTGCTTCCCACAGGGAACAGTGAACTTCACAGCTCACATCCTGCCCCAGGAGACTCTGCCCAGTGGAGCAAGCAGCCTTCAATAGTAGAGTTCCCAGATAAAATATAGGACAACCAGTTCAATTTGAATATTAAATAAAACAACATATGATTATTTTAGTATAACTATGTTCCAAATATTGCATGGGGCATATACTACAAAATGATTTGTTGTTTATCTGAAATTCAAATTGGACTGGGTGTCCTGTATTTTTATTTGCTAAATTTGACAACCCTACATAGGGCAGAATATGAGAGGTGGGGGCTTCAAAATACTCCTGTTACCCCTAACGACTGGCCGCAAATCACTTGTCCCTGACTTCACTCTTCATCATAGATGGCTTTGGAGCAGATAATGTAGGTAGACCCTGTTATTTCCAGAAAGCTTCTGAGAAAACACTCCTGTCCTTCCTGCGTCAACTCTAACTGCCTCTAATCACCACATCCACGTGAATATGGGTGTAAGATTGCCCGAGAAGGCACCCTGTGTGGCTGGACAGGTGTGTTTCAATGGAGAAGCAGCAGTGATAGCCTGGATGGCTGGGGCAGTGTGGACCCTAAAGTTGGGGAGACTGATCTGGTTGGGGTGTCCACTCAGCCTACTGGGTCAGGGGGCAATGTGAGGCATTGGACCAGGAATACAGCCCCAGGGGGCCTTGGATACACCAAAAAGAGAAAGACGTGTTTCTTTCCCCCTTTCCATCCCTGTCTCTTCTCCTTCCTCACTCTCTATTCATTCACTCATATTTTTCCTGCCCGTCCCCTCCCCTGAGCATCTGAATTGTGTATTAAGTGTTTAAGACTCTGTTTCTCGCATGAGCACAGTGTTTATTCTGAGAGTTTGTGCAGTGGAGGGAAAAAACCCTTCAAACCAGGTCTTCCAAGTCCTCCTGGGGTGGGGTGGGGATGGAGTGGGGCGGGGGCCTTCTTTTGAACCCAACAACTGTACATACTAAGCCAGGCTTTAGGAAATTAAGAATAAAACAAAAAAAGCACACAAACCCAACATTTGTATAGGACTTCAAAGCTTATAAGCAACTCGTCATATAATATTTCACTTAATTCTAACAATTTAGGAATTGTCACAACACTAGAGGGGCTAAGTGACTTGCCTGAGTGACAGAGCTGGTTTTCAATATTCAGGCCAACACCTTTTTCACTTTTCAGGGAAGAAGGCAGAGGTGACAAAGGAGAGGTACAAACAGAGCCTGAAGACCATCCCTATTTCTCAGTTTCACAATGAATAAGCCTTGAGCTCTTGAATGCCTGAGCAGCTCACAAGAGGGCCTGGGACAACGGAGATCAGACAGAGCCTTCTGGAGAGAGAGACTGCTCCACACGGGCCTCCCTGACTGGGTCTAGAGCCTCCTGTTGGGGTTCTTTCTCCTACATCACGCTCACAGGTGTGACTGCTTGATAGTACAGAGCCATAACTGAGTTTCCAGGGAACAAAACACTGCTGGTCTCTCTTTCAGGGTGGCATTGTTGAGAGAACTTTGTCTAGACGGAGACGCTACAAGGGAGAGGTCAGAGACAACCTGGGCAGTAGCAGCTGAAGAGGGAATCCCCCTCCCTGCCAGTCACAGTCTCTAAACTGAGTTCCATAACTTGCTTTGGAGAACAGCATTCTGTAAAATGGGGGGTGAGCAACTAGAAGTGGCTTCTGGACAAAGGACTAAGGGTTGCTTTTCTTTCCTGGGACCTCCAAGCTCTGTTTCATCCACAAAGACTACTTTGATCTCATCTCTTTCAAGGAAGTATCAAGTTGGAAACCAGATATTGAGCTTAAAAAAGAACATTTGAGTTAATATTTGGCTGGAGAGAACCAGATCTAAGGTCAGCAGGCAGAGTGGGGCTCAGCAACAAGGTGTGGAGATGACTCAGGTCCCTCGGTGTCCTGACCCTCTTGGGGCAGTATCTGGTGGCTTCCTCTTTCCCCACAAACTCGCCGTGGGGAAATCTCCACTGGGCACTATAAGAAGCCTCTGGGCTCTGTGCAGAAGCCAGCTGCTCCAACCAAGAGGACAAGATGAGCCTGGGCCTTCCCTTCCTGCTGGCCCTACTGTTCCTCCTTGGCCCAGCCGCAGGGGATTTGGGGAATTTGGAGCCCCCGATCTCTGGCGCCAGCCCCGGCTCCTTCTCTGATGATGACTTCAGCTCCAGCTTGACCCCTGGCCCTGGTCCCAGCACTGGCCCCACCACCGTGTCCCAGGTGAGGAGGTCTCAGTCTGAGAACTGCATTCATTCCCTTCCTCTCACTTTTTAGAGACCTGAACATAATTTCACAGATGGCTAGACCTGAGCACTCTAAAAGATTTATGACTCTCTTTGTTAACTGTAGGCACCCTGGAAATAAATTAAAAGCTAGGTGAAATAATTCAATTGTAAGCAAAAGACAACACCTCTGTTCTGCAACTGGAGGCTTTCAGGAAAGAATCTAAGCTTTAAAGAGGTTCTCAAACCAGGCTTCACTTTAGAATCAGGGCAGAGTGGGGGGATCTCTAAAAGTAGAGATGCCAGGGTTCCATCCGGAGGAGAACTGTTAAGGAAGGAGCCCTGCCAGTAGAAGCTCTAGACAAGTTTGTCCAGTTGATTTGCTGCCTGGCAGGGGGGGACCCTGTGGATAGTGAAGAATAGCCCTTGGGGAATGAGAGCCGTGATGCTCCAGTGGAGCCCTGACAGTTTCTCTGAGCCTGGTTTGTAAAGCAGATGGGTGACAGAAGTAGGGGGAGGAGTCATTGCTTTTTAGGAAAGTGCTATTACACATGGACATTTCCTCGAGAAGTGTTACCTCTTCTCAATCTTCCTTATAGAAAATCTTTAGAGCCATTTCCAGCTCGAAACAACAGCAGTAGAAACAAACAAACCAGCCCAAAGCATGCACTAGAAAGGGATTGGTCCAGGTAGGCTACATCCCTAGAACCTGTAGAAACCCTAGCTCCCTGGGGCTTTCCAAGCTAAGGCGTGACTTGGGGTTGGGGAGGCTTAACTCCTTCAAAACCGGATCTTTACTCACAGGTCAGGTTGCTGTTTACGTGATCATGTCTGAATGGAAGGAGCAGTGGGAAAAGGGGAGGAAAAGGCTTGTGTTTGTTGTTTTCATTTTCACCGTCAGGACTATATTTGTGATGAAAATTGTTGATTAACAAATGTGTTGGATAGGGCCCAGATAGAAACAGCAACAACAATGCTCATTGAGTGCCTAATAGTGCCAGGACTAGGTTAAGAACATAATATATATTATGTTATTTAATCCTAAGAGGTAGGTAAATTTAATGGTCCCATTTTAGAGGTGTGAAAACGGAGGATTAGAGAGGTGAAGTCATTGGCTTAAAGTCACTAAGCTAGCAAGTTATATAGCTCAAACTTAGTCTGCCCATGCTCTTCACCATCTCTCTTTATGCAGCTTTCTACATTTTCAGGGAGTATAGATGAAAACTGCTTGTTTTTAAAAGGAGAATTGTTTGAGAGTCATGAATATGCGCAAAGATTCTTTGTAGCCAGAAGTCAGATGCATGACTTTATTCCACGATACTAAATGATTTCTGGGGACAAGTAGAACTAGTTAGCATTAAACAAAAAAATAAAGTTAACAATAATAATTTACTTTGAAGCTTCATCACCAATCAGAAGCCAGTATTTGGGTTTGATGACCAGCTAAAATAATAGAAAATAAAATTTAGGTCAAGAAACAGAGAAATTCAAAATGCCTGTTGTCTGGTAAGGAGATAAATATTTACAAGTAGATAAGGAATGGTAGTTAAATTGTACTTAGAGGTTTTAATTTCCTTCCTTGTTGGCTTATCTCCCTCTGGTGAGTCAATATCACAACTCCAAAATTTTTATGGTGGACTAGGTGTCGCTTCCACTATAAACCCAATTTTCTAGGGCTGGCTGTCAGCTTGATGAGCTCTTTGGAAAGTGGCAAAAAACTCTTTTATAACTGTCATTGAGCAAGTTCCAAATGTATCATTTTCTGTACTTTGAAAATGTTGAGTACCATTATTTTATGCCTTGACTCTTTACAGGCACTTAGACTTGGCTGCTAATTAGAGCCAACTGCAACCTTAAATCACAGTGAGTCGCACTTCCTGCTGTAGTGCTCAGAGCACTCCACCTGCCTCAGATGTCACCCTCCAAAGAAGGGGCCACTCTCAGGGTCCTCATCCCATAGATGAGAAAAGGCTGCATGCTTCGCTCCCCACAGTAACTGGCAGAGTCGGAACCACAATAAGTTATGTGCTTTTGTCATCAGGTTAAGGGTCTTGTTGGAAAAAAAGACACGAAAGCTTGCACACCGACCATGGGCCTGCTTCACTGGGCAGGAACCGGGTTTTATTTGTCTCCTGAAGACCAGAGCCTGGCAAGTTGTAGATGCCAGTAAATGTTAATTGAACACATGCTGAGTGAGAACCTATCGGTGTAAGGTGTCTTGTGGGGTACATGGGGTCCTATTTGCCCTCCACAAGGCCAAGGGGACAAGCACTTCTCTTTGTCTCCCGTTCCCCATGTTACAATCGCATAGAGTTTAGGCGTTCACCTCGGAGAGAGACCCATCACCATATGTTTCATTGTCTTTGAATGCAAGGAGCAGAAATATCTCTAATGGGAGACACTGATCAAACTTATGGCCCATTTTGATGTCAGCTGAGCACGCTGGGCTGACGATAAGCAGGCTGGATGCTGGGGAGTCCACAGTGCTGGGACAGAGATGTTCAATAGAAGACAGCGGAAGGCTGTCAGCAGGGCTCATAATTATTTGCCTGCCTTTCAGGTGAACTTCAAGACTGAAAGTTATTAGCTAGTGGTTTCTAGTTGATTGTCTAGAAACTGCTTGATGATCTCCACTTTTTCTGAGTTGACAGAGCTTTTCAGAGAACTCTAAGAATGGTCCAATTCTGTCTCGTGCAGCTAATTAACCTCCCCTTGTCAAAATGCGATGCAAGAATTTTGGGGGGGTAGACAGTTATTACAATAAGCTATTTCTTCAAAAGTCCATGATATGCCGGTCCTCCTGTAAAAGCATTGGTTTTTGAGCTTCAGCTGGAGTCTTTCTGTCTTCAGTGGGAGTGATAGAGCCGGTTCAAAGGGAAGCTGGCCTCTCTGACAGGCTCCCCGTATAGCTTACCCAGTCCTTATGCATCCCTGACAAAGACCCTTCCCTTCCCCCATCCCAGTCCCCGTGGTCAGCATAAACCTACTTGTCCCTCCTCCTTACTCCCCAATTCCTGCAGGAGTGGGATGTGATTGGCAAAGAAAATTGAGGCCAACATCAAGAATTTAGCTGGCATAGAGAGTTTTGGGTACAAATATACATATATATATATACACACACACACACAGATGGTCCCTGACTTAAAGATGGTTGGACTTAAGAAGTTTTCCACTTTACAATGGTGTCAAAGTGATACACATTCATAGAAACTAAACTTCAAATTTTGAATTTTGATCTTTTCCAGGCTATCGATATGTGGTACAATACTCGCCTGTGATTGCTGGGCATCAGTAGCGAGCTGCAGCTCCCAGTCAGCCATCCGATCACGAGGGTAAACAACCCACACACTTACAACCATTCTGTACCCACACAACCATTCTGTTTTTCACTTGCAGTATAGTATTCAATAAATCACATGAGAGGGGCCGGCCCAGTGGCGCAAGCCGTTAAGTGCGTGCGCTCCGCTGCGGTGGCCCAGGGTTTGCCAGTTCAGATCCCGGGCATGCACTGACGCACCGCTTGTCAAGCCATGCTGTGGCGGCATCCCATATAAAGTAGAGGAAGATGGACATGGATGTCAGCCCAGGGCCAGTCTTCCTCAGCAAAAAAAAAAAAAAAAAAAAGGATTGGCAGATGTTAGCTCAGGGCCGATCTTCCTCACACACAAAAAACAAAAATAAAAAAAAATAAATCACATGAGCTATTCAACACTTTATTATAAAATAGGCTTTGTGTTAGATGATTTTGCCTAACTGTAGGCTAATGTAAGTGTTCTGAGCACATTTAAGGTAGGCTGAGCTAAGCTATGATGTTCAATAGGTTAAGTGTATTAAATGCACTTTTGACTTATGATATTTCCAACTTATGATGGGTTTATTGGGACAAAACCCCATTGTAGGTCCAAGAAAATCTGTATATATGTATATTTTTTTCATTCTGCTCATTTTAAAGAAGATTAGGTTAAATTAACTAAATTAAGTTAGTTGTTAACAACTTAGTTGCAAAAGCCTGAATTAATTGGTCCAAAGGACACTGACAGAATAGATCTCGATTATAGAAGCATCTAGGTCCAGCTTGTATAGGAATCATGGCAGTTGGTAGATATTAAATGCTCAGAGCACACAACCTTAGCTGCAGCCAGCTTACCTCTTAAATTTTGAGAGGTGTAGCCTGCATCTCTTCAAACTCTGCTAGCCATTGCTCTCCCATTAGTAATTTCAGAAAGAGACCCTTCAGGCTGATGTTCCACAGGTGAGATTTGGGCTGGCTGTCAGATGAGATCATTGAAGGGCACAGGCAGTTGGCTGCCAAGAGTTACTCTGTAAGGCAGTAGCAGAAATAAAAAAAATGTTAATTGTGCTGGATCCCCTTGGGGAAGTTCAAAGGGGACAAAAGAAAAACAGGATCTTTCAAATTTGTCATTTTAAAATATGCAGCGGCACCAAAGTGTGAGCCTGAATATCTTAAAGAAACATCAAATATTTTAAAACGACTTTTCTGCAAGTGGTAAGCTGGAAAACAAAAAAAATTTGCACAAAACCTTCAAACTCATACACTGTTCAGTTTTTAACAAATGGCTGGTTTGTTTCCATTTTGAAGGATGTTAATTATACAATTTCCCAGGTGAAGAGAAGATGCGAATTGCACTGTATAGTTTCACTGTAACCCATATCCTTGATGTTCTCCTCATTCTCTTGGAAGGCATTGGGTTGAGTGGGGTTCAGATACAGGTGAGGAGAAGAAAATGAGTGAGTAGAAGGAAAGGGAAAGTGACTGATCACCTACCATGTACCAGGGACTTGGTTTACTTTACTCAGTTACTCTTGAGGACAACCCTGTGAAGTAGGTTATTTGACACATGAGGAAACTGAGACTTAACAAGGGTTCACATCTGGTAAGTGGTAGAATTAGAATTCAAACTTAGGACATCCATCACTTCATTTCCCTTTCCTTGCATTGGGACAGTAATAATTTCCTTTAAGACTCATCAAGAAAAAAGAATCTTCCTTTAGGTAAAGGTGACTGACATAGTTGTTCAGCCCAACAGGTGGAGACGTGGCTGAATACTGCATGTAATTAACCACCTGTGAAACATGGCGGTTTTAGCTTGTTTCTATGATTCTATTCATTTATGTATTGGACTCCTCTTGCTTGCCTCTAAGCACTCTTTTGACAAGCCAATTTCTGTCTCTCCAGTTGCCAAAAAGCTCATTTCCTAGCTTATTACTGTCATTGAACTTATTTTTATTTACAGCTGTTTTCCAATTTCACCGGCTCCAAGGATGACCGCGGGACCTGCCAGTGCTCCATTACCCTGCCAGACACCACCTTTCCCGCGGACAGAGTGGAACGCTTGGAAAACACAGCTTACAGTCTCTCCAGGAGGTTCAAGATAGAGCTTTCTAAAGTAAGCCTTTTTTTTTCTCTTCCAACAATATCTTGATAAGAACAAACAAACAAACAAAACAAAACGCTTTTTATTCAGGACTTGATGAGCAGCCGTTCTTCACTGTATCAAAGACAGCACGTTTGCATCTTGTGGAGGCGTTAGTGTTTATTTTACAGTACACCTATGGAGTTCTTTAGAGCAGGAAAAATGAGAGCACAGGAGGAAAGTGGGATCGAGATTATTCACGCCGTGGATAAACTCACTTCAACATGGTGGTGTTCACCCAGTTGGAAGGAAGCCGGAAGTCTCCCTTCGAATGCCAGCTCTGCAATTTTTATTTTGTTTTGTTGTTTCTTTTTCCTGTTGGTCTTCCCTCCACCTCTGTTTTCTTTTCTTTCCTCTCCTCTGTCTTCTTTGTGTTCTATTCTATCTTCCTTCTCTTTCCCTTTTCCTTCCTATTCCTATTTCATGCCCTCTTCCTTTTGTTTTTATTTCTCCCTTTGTCTCAACCTTTCCTTTGGCAATCCCTCCTAATCTTTCTTTCCCTTTCCTTCTTAATTCTTTTGTTTTTTTGTTTTTTACTCTTTTTCGTCTGCTCTTACTTTTGGAAGGCCCCTTCACCTTCTCTTCCTCTTCCGTCTCCTCCTCCACTCCCCTGAAACTTCTACCTCTTATCTTCCTTCTTTCCTCTCTCTTTTCCTGTCTCTTCCTCTGATTTTTTCTTTCCAATTTACTCTTTTCTCTCTCTCTTTCTTGATGTTATCCTCTGTTGTCTCGGCAGGAACATTACATTAGATGTGTTTAACATTAGACCAAAACCGAAGGCTTCCCTGGGAATTTGAATCAAGACTAATAGGTCCCTCAGCCTTGGTAAAAACCCTGACTCAAACTCCCCGATTACCACTTTTCCCTGGCCAGCGGAAGTTATCCCACAGGGTTTGCCTTTCTCTGAGCTGGCTGGAGCAATGTGACTTGGCATTCCAGTTTTGACCCTGTCTACCTTTTTAGCCAAGTTAAAAATCAGTTAGAAAGGCTCCCATTTTCTGCACAGGTGAAGTCCAAGCTAGGCTATAATCACATTATACATTATTTAATACACTCCGTTAATTTACAAGGAGCTCTGGCTTTCCTGCAAGATTCAAAATAAGTTTTCCTGAGAAATTTAAGCTTAGCTACTGCAACATCCAGCATAGTTATCCTTTAAGACAAAAATTATGGTGAGGCTGAGACCTTGCTTTCAACCTGAATTGGTAGATAAATATTCTAAGTTTAAATGGGTGTCCAGGAAAATGTGTTTGACTACTCCAGGAACCTAACTTCATAAGAAATAAAATGTCCTTGAATTAATCAGCAGAAAAGGCACAGCACTAAATTATAAATTCCAACCATTAATATTCATAGCCTTATTCCAGCATAATCAAGTACAGATAAGAAGTTATGCATAAAAACATAACAAGTGGAGGAAAATCCTAGGTAAAGATCTTTTCAGTTAGAGTCATTTGCTTTGAAATAGTGGAAGCTTCTGATTTGCATGTCTTCTTTGCTGGCAGGAGTGTGAAGGGCAGTTTGAAACCCCATGCTGCTCCAGGGAAAGTATGTAGCTTGCCAGGTTTGTGACTATGGGATATTTAATTCCAATCCCGTAAGGAGGGGGGCAGGTGACATCTGCCTTGCTAATAATTGGCAGGGAAGACGTGTGGAGTAGGTGGGAAAACTTTTACTTCTGAAAGTGTCAGTAGCTGGTCCTAAAAAATTTGTGATTGAGGTCTAAGAAAGAAATTGACCTGCCAGCTAAGGTTTGCATAATAGATTTGATGTGACAAATGATAATAACAACGGTAATAGTAACAGCTTCCCTTGCGCTTTTCTTAATGCTTCTAGTTTTATTTTACTCTCAAGCAAACCTTCAAGGCAGATAGGCCAGATGTTCTCCCTCCCATTTTAGGGATGGAAAAACTGAGGTTCATAAAGGTAAAGGGGGATAAATGGAGAGACCATGCCTCTCTTGGCTGGTTAAGCCAGGTTGGGAATTTGGGCCTTAGGAATTATCCCAGTTCTCTTTTCTCTCACCATGCTATTATCACCCTCCAGTGCAGACCCAAAAAGAGATGCAGTAGGTCAGTAATGTCTTCAAATCCAAAGTTATCTCTTCAGCTGAGAGCTTTTGAATTTCCAGGTGAATTATTATAGCTGTCTCTAGGTTGCCTTGGAAATCACCATTTATCTAGAGGCCTGGGGGAATGCCCATTTGGGCAGACCAGTAGAAAAGGGTTTTGACTGCCTTACATTGATTCATTATCTGTCAGTACACAGAGGAGACAGGGAGCTGCCTCTGCATAAGATGCTGAAAGCATTTGATCCTTTTCTGTTGTTTATGATATGTCCTCTTGTGACTATACTTAGGAAGGGGACAATGCAAAAGGCAGCTCGAGATTTTCTTTCTCTTGAGGATTATGGTCTTTGGGGCGAGTTATTTTATATAACACATTTGTTAATAGATCCTCATGCATGAGAGGGTTGAGGCAGCCTGGGAAACATTTAGGCAACCCGTAAACAAACAACATTGATTGAACAATGTTTTGTGCAGTGAAATACAATAAATTAAAAGGTCAGATTGAAAAAAACTGAAATCACTGTTTCTCTAACAATTACTGTAATCTATAGGCTAACCATTGTGCTAGGCACCTAATATACGTTATCTCAGGTCTTTGCTATAATTTTGTAAGCTTGATATCATTGCTCCTAGTTTAGAGGAGGAAATCAAGGCTTAGAGAAATTAAATGATTTGCGCATTAAGTACTGAAGTCAAATTTAAGCTTAGATGGGTCTAGCTCCAAAGTGCGTCATATGTCTTGATGGTCAATTCAAGCTCAATCAATCTTGTTGCATTTATTTTTAAAGAGATATTAAGATAACAGTATGTCGCAAAGTACGTTTACTTATTTCAGATAATCTGGCCATAGTTCTGAGCACAAGTTTTGAGGAACTGGCAGAAACACGAGCCAGACTAATTCTTTAGCATAATAGCCAGCTGTACTGCATCCTTATCTATTACAAGACCACATTTACTGTATGGGACAACAACAGACACCCCAAAACAAACCCCCAAACAAGCTTTGATTCTTAGAACCCATCAATGACATAATACGTGCATAACGAACAAAAGAATGGAGGCTCTGAATGTTAGGCTGGTGATTTGCAGGCAAGCATGGGTGAATCCTCTGAAGCTCAAACTCAAAGTGATGAGGAGCTTCGCAATAAAGATGTTGACACAGGAATATGTCCCCTTAGGGCTAGACCTGTATTCTTGCTACACATCGTTGGGGAAGTTGGATTGCCTCTGCTGAGACTTCACCTTCCAGCAAGAGCTGGAATGTTCTCAGAATTGTCCACGCTGTCTCAACACTAGAGATCCATACACATGAAGGGTTTATACTAACAATCTCCTTCAATTACTAAAGTTCATACTGCGAAGTCTTTCTGGCCATCCTCAAATTCTCTCCTGCCTTCTATAACTCCATGGATGATTCGAGTTTTCCTGAACATCACTGAGCTTTCCTTTAAATGTCAGCTGAAAGAACCTCACGTTTTTTTCCTGAACAGATCTTTAGAGACCCTTCATTTTGTGACTAAACTACGGCAGGCACAGCACACACTCTCCTAGGTAGCAGACTCCAGGTTATGACTTGGTTGTCAGTGAGAATCTGGGAGAGCCACATTTTATTTAGCGGAGATGACAGTTGAATCACTCATTTTTGTAGAACAACAGCTGCGATGTGCCACCAAAATGTTCCAGGAAAGCTGAGGGTGTTTCATTTGTTCCAAGAGCTGGCAAGGCCAAATGCCAGCAAGAATATTCATTTCACAATCTTCCATTTTTGCCATAGATTGAGACTTTATTATTATTTTTTGTCGCAGGCAAGGTTTTATGCCTGATTTTTGTAGAAATTGAAAGCTGGTTACCTTATATCTGTGTTTGTACTTTTGAAGGAGACTTGTTAGGTTTTAAATATATATATATTTTAACCTCCTTATCCACCAAAATGTCAACAGCATTATGAGCCTCTGAGTGATGGCACATCTGATGGCAGTGAGTATCAGTTGCCTGAGGAGATACACTAGAAGTGCCAAGGGCTGCATTTTCAACTTTCATTCAAATCCTCTTTGCCTGAAGCCCTAGCCCTTTAGGTCTGTGGCCTGTGAGTCTACTTTAATTTGCACAGTGGGGTTAAGTGGAAGGGCTAAAATGACAGAAGTTAGGGCTGCCTTTGGTATTAGAAGTATTAGAGGCCAACATCTGGCTCTGAATTCATCCAGGCACTGTGGATCAGCTACTTGACATTAGCGCAGTTTGGGGAAAAGTATCACTTATGTTCAAATTTTTAAAAAGAATGTAAAACCAGCAACTTTTAATGAGGAGGTCCTTAAAAAAGCCATGGCATTTCTTTTAGAGACCAGATACAGAAAGAATCACCAAGTGTGTTTATTGAAATATCCATTTGGAGATTCCGATTATACACTAAACCATCAAGGGAATTTTTGGAAGTATTTTAACTTAATGATCAGACATTCAAATATATGCAACAAATGTGCAATTGAAAGGTCTGATTGCAATAATCAGTTCTTGGAATAAATGTGGGTGCACTTAATGAAATGTGCATTTTACAGTTCCACATACACTCACATATTGTGTAGTAAGTTGGGTCTTTATGCCACTTTGTAAAAGGCAGAAGGGCTCAAAACTCATTGCATATGGCGATCAAAGAGGGAATTCTGCTTAGTGCATTTCTCCCTCTTTTAGAAAATACTTAGATTTAGAGCAGTGGTTCTAAACAGAGGGAGGGTGGTGGTGGTGGTGATTTTGCCCCCGTGAACATTTAGCAATGTCTGGGACACTTTTGGTTGTCACAGCAAGGGGGTAGGTGGGTGCTGTTGGCATCTAGAGGCAAGAGTGACTGCTAAACATCCTACAATACATAATATATCCCCCAACAAGAAAGAATGATGTAGCCCAAAATGTCAATAGTGCTGAGATTGGGAAACCCTGATCATGTGCATCGAGGGGAAGAGGGAGGGCAAGAGACTGTGATTCAAACCACTTTAGTTTGGAGAGCTAATATCTTCAAATATTAAAATGGAGATTAAAATGTACTTGCAAATGATGATTCTGAAGCAAAATTATTTTGTTGAGGCAAGTGCAAAATCCACCCCCCAAATGTAGTAAGTTCTTTTTAGTTTGTATTTGGATAGATTAAAAAAAAATCTAGTTAAATATATTTTGATCCATTTCTTTACCAAAGAAAAAAAAAAAAGATTGACAGCAATCAAATAGCCTCCAAGGGCTTGGTAGTGGAGGAAGACTGTATGATATTACTCTGGGAATTGACTTGAGCATTTTGATTCCCTTTCAGGTGAAGGAGTATATCCGTTTAATCAGTGTGTATGAAAAGAAACTCGTAAACCTAACTGTCCGAGTAGAGATCATGGAAAGTGATATCATTTCTTACACTAAACTGGAATTTGAGCTGATCAAGATAGAAGTGAAGGAGATGCAGAAACTGATCATACTGCTGAAGAAGAGTTTTGTTGGAAGCTCAGAAATTGTTGACCAGCTGGAACTGGAGGTAAGGAGTGAACTCACTTCTCAGTGTATAATAATAAATCCTCTTCAGTGATCAAGTGCTAGGCCCAGGATATGAATCTCTCTCTTCCAACTTCTCATTCTGTACTCTCTCATGACCACGTGGCACGTCCCATGTTCTGTTCTAGATGGGTGCCTGTCTTTGAATAGTAAGTTAAACACATTGGGAACATGTTGATTGAAGAGCAGGTGTTGTCTAATGGTCAGAGTCCTGCCCTAGAACCAAATGGCCTTTCAATGTCTCTAGAAAGGAGATGATATAAATCTTAACAACTCCATGGCCAAGCTAGATCAAGTGTCTTCTCTGTTCTGGATTTATCCTCATGGGACTAGAAAGCCACAATTTACCTGATTTTGAACTTGCTAGGTCTATTTTTCCTTTTGAGTGATCACGTAATCCTTGATCTTTTTTGGAATTCTTCTTCACATACTGGTAACCTTCTTTAAAGAAGTTTCTTGTGAGTATGTTTTAGTGAAGCCTTTTAAGCTCTGTGGATAAAGACCATCACATTAATGTTAGGGCTGGGTAATTTGTATCCATGAGAATTTACTAGCATAGTCATGACATGGGCTATAATTGAGAATTCTAGTTACATATTTTAGAATTCAACTTTTCTCTGGCCCTCACCATTCATTAGAAACTTAATTATAAGACAACATGAGTAAACATGAGTTTATAGGAAAAGGTTATGAGAAATGAACTTTAATGGACATTTGTGGATGCTTAGACTGAGCCTGTGCTCTATTATCAAAGCTGTTAAAATCTTTGTCGTTTTCTTCTTGTCACACACATCTGCCTGTGATCTGACAGGCGTTCACGCTTAAACCGTAAAATGTATTCTTCCAAATGAAACCATTCAGATGAGTCTTGGGTGTATTCTCCAGCAATGTTTCACTAAGTGACAAATTCAGCCCTGGAATGTTTATGAAAGAAATTGCATGATAATATAAAGTCGCTCTGAATTTTTATTTCCTTAGATAAGGAATTTGACTCTCGTGGTAGAGAAACTGGAGACACTAGACAAAAACAATGTCCTTATCATTCGCCGAGACATCGTGGCTCTGAAGAAAAGGCTAAAGGAATGTGAAGCCTCTAAAGATGAAAAGGTTCCCCTCCCTCCGCCTGCTCCGGGTAAGAGTGCCATATTTTTACCACTTGTGCCAGGCCTCGTGAGGAGCCGAGAGTGGGGTGGGGAAGGAATTTGGGATTGCAATCATGAAGGAAGGATGGGGTTTTTGCAGTTCTGAGTTTACTCTTTCATGCTTTTAAATCTCTACTCCTAGTAGTTGTACATACTATCACATTCTGTGTCTCACAGAGGAAAAGCACAAACAAAGAGTTGATTTAAAACAAAATCCATATGTTACACGTATTCCCTTTGCATTTACTGATAGGAAAACCATCTCTACGGTGATGAACTTGCTCTTAGGGGGCCAGGTGAAAGCTTCTGGAATCTGGGTGGCATCTGTGCTGTCTTGTGGATTTCTCAGATGAGCTGGGGTTATGCCTTGAATCCTCCTCGCCTTCTCTCCCTCCTTCCCTTTTCCCACCTCTTTATTTTTCCTTTGTGCTTTCGCTAAAGGCATGTTGAGCACCTGCTGTAGAATGTATCCTAGGCTTCAGTGAGGATCAAAGGCATGGCCCCACCTGTCCAGTACTTGTGGGTGTACCTTGCTGTCCCTCTTGGACTGTGAGTTCCTGGAGGGCAGGGGTGGCATCTCCCTCTCTAATGAATCATCCTGGGGGTCAAGTATAGCACAGAGATGGGTACTCCATAAATACCCCCGTGAATGGAGGCAGTGGAGTGTGGGGGTCAGAAGCACGGCCCCAAAGACCTGAGCTTCCCAGCTATGTGGCCATGGCAAAAAGATCCTTAATCTCCTCACTTGTAAAGTGAGAACAGTAATACCTACCTTGCAGGATTGCTGTGAGGATTAATGAAACAAGGCTTGGGAAGCTCAGAGCTCTACGATTGGCTGTTATACCCTGGCAATTATTATTATAATTGAAGGGAAAACCTTGCTGGGAACCAAGGCAGTGCTAGGTCCTTGCGTGCTTGAGCACATCCCTCCAGGTGAACTAAAGCCAGCCTCTCAGCCGCAGCGTTCAGCCCTATCCTTTAGAGACGCCAGTGTTACAGGGAAGCTCTCTGCAGGTTGTGAGCATCTCAGCCTGAATGGGGAAAGAATCTTTTCATCAAATCATACAGCTCTTGTGATTTTCCATTAATTCCTATTGCTCACAATCTATTTCCTTTTAGGCCGTGCATTTCTGGATCCTTCTCAGTGTAGCTGGTTTCTTTAAGGCTTTAATTAGATACTGCCATAGTTATAAGCCCCTTGATGTTGTTCAGGGGACTCTTCCTTCCCTCTGCAGTTGAGAATCTGTCATAGTGTGACAAACAGGAGGTTGAGGACAAAGGCTATGCTCTGTCCTCTGTAACAAACCAAGGCTAAATTTGGTCTGGGATCAGCCATGTCAACATGCGTTGGAAATGAGGGCTCATTCTGCTGGGCTCCTCAAGGGCAGGATTTGAAGCAATGACAACCCTTGATAATACCTGAGCAAGTCTTTTTTTTTTTTTACCTCAGCAAATCTTCAACATGGTGTAGATTTTTCCAGCACAGGTTTCTATGCATCACTTAGAATGGGGACCTTTTACAGCAGGAAGGAACATTCAAGACCATCTAGCTTAGGCCCATCATGTCTCAGAGGAGGGGACTTAGGTGTTGAGAATGCTGCTTTTCCTGAGGTCACACAGGTAGTTAGTGACAGAGCTGAGGAGAATGTGCAAGGCCTCTCGCTCCCTGGTTATCTCAGGACCCAGAGTGTCAGGCGTCAGTAACTCAAGAACAGCCGTGAGGGAGAAAGTACACTGCTTAATATCTAAGGAAGAAAACAAGTGAATCTGTGGATTATTTTTGTTAGAATTTTTTTTCTAGAACTTTCCCCTAGGTCCTCACACTTAGACTTTTGTGAGCCATCCCAGCCCAGCTGTGTTGTTTAAGCAAACCAGACCCAGATTTTCTCTCACTTTCCCACAACCTTGGCTGTACTTGGATCCCTGCCAAGCCACTTGGCCCTCCTCCAGCTTTGATCATATTATATTTATGATGTTTATATTAAACTGACTTTTTGTCGTGTTTTTAAATCAATTTCTTTCACTTGCTCTCTTTCTGTTTGGATTGGTTGATAATGCAGAATTGGAAAATCCCCAGGCACCACAAAGTTGTGAGCCTGTGGAGACTTTAATTAAAGTTACTCACTATTATGGGACTTTAAAATCTGGCCTGTCTGCTTTTTCCGCTGCAGAGTTGTACAGAACAAAAAAGCCTGTATGCAAGTCTCAGCTATAAAGTAATTCTGCGCTCTTTCCGCCCCTCCCTGGCATTTGCGGTTAGCTACCCCTGTGGTCAGCTTGATCTTAGAACTGGTACATGTAGTTAGGGTTCAATAAAATGTGCTTTATATTTGGTTTATGCTGCAAATGGCATCCTTTTCTGCTTCATTTCATAGAACTTTCTAATCTAAAATAATTGGCCTCCTGCTCATTAACGTTTTTTCTTGAAAACAACTAGCTTCAGTCTCTCTCTGTTTTTCCCCTGAATCTAATTGACTGCAGTTAGGCAGAAAGTGATACGATGCCCAGGAGTCGATCACCATTGTGCTTGGAGACGCTAGGCTGTGCTGACACAGAGCAGGTGCTCAGCCATGGCTGGGGATTGAGTAGGGTATGAAAGGTATGGGGTGCCCTGCCTAAACCCAAGCCTAGGGAAGAGCAGAGTGTAGGGAGCATATATCCAGTAATTCAGAGTCAATTTAGTCTTGACTGTTGTATGATTATGACCATTTTAATTGCCTAATTCTCACATGTCAATTGTATTCTCCTCTTTGCCCAAACAAAGTTTAGCTGCCCAGGTGAGAGAGTGCATTGATGGATCCGAGATTGTTTCCTCTGCAGGCATATCATCTTTGGCCTGTTTAAAAAATGCTACTAAGCATGAGACTTTATAAAAGCAAGTTAGATTATTTTAAAGTCTCACCATGTGGCTTCCCAGGATATTTTCAGAATACCATGGCAATATCTAATGAATTACATGATGAAGAGATTGCCAACCAAGGCTAGACTTGTGTAGAGGGTTCCTCGCATTATGTTCTATGGAGTGACTACCAGGCTCTTTGAAAAGTTCAGATATGTAGCAGGGTAGAGGGCTAGGGTTTTATAAATAAGGGTAAGCTGGGTTTGGGAGATTTGATCAGTCTTTCATTCGTTTATTCCACAAACATAATTTGGTGCCACTGTGTGGCTGGTCCTTTTCTGGGTACTGGGGTTACCAGGATGGGTACAGAAACCTCTAAAACCACTATCCAGGAAGGGAGACAGTCACATAAACCTTCAGTTGTAACATGATAGGATTATAATGCTGATAGTTACTATTTATTGAGTTACATGTACATACCTTCTCTCTATTTTTTCCTAATACTCTTGCAGAGTAGGTATTATTATTATTTTTTAACATGAGGAAACTGAGGCTCAGAAGGTTAAGTAACTTGCTCAAGGATACACAGCTAGTAAGTATTGGAGTCAGGATTTGATTGGAACCTGTCTGGCAATATTTTCACTGTAGCAGGCTGCTTTCCACAGATGCTCTAATAGAGAGGTGCACCTGTGATTCCTGGAGTGAGAAGAAAGTTCCAACAACTCACCAACCTGATTAACACCAAATTATCTTTGCTTCCTTGCTTGTGGAGCAGCTAAAAGGGTACTTTTTCTCTCAGCTCTATGCTGTGTTCTCTTCTACCAGAAAATGCAAAATGATTCATACATCTTTCACAATTCTTGGATCATGGCTGGGCAATGGGTTGATGTCCCAGTGATGGGGTAGAGTTGGATGGGAGGGTCAAGAGGGAATGGAGTATCTCTAAGACCTTGAAATGAAGGGAGGGGCTGGGAAGGGGTGCGAGATAAGGGAGGTTGGAGAGTCTCAGCTATAGTCTCAGGTATAAAGTAATTCTGCGCTCTTTCCGCTCCTCCCTGGCATTTGCAGTTAGCTACCCCGTGGTCAGCTTGGGGTAGGTGGGTGGGGGGATGGGTACTCCGGCTGGACTAGATGAGCAGTTGGGCATAGGGCTGGCTGTCAGTTTCATCTTTGTTTCCAAGATGGTTTGCTGCCAGGAGTTGGGAAGCCTGTCACAGCCTTTTCACTGGTCTGTCACTGCTGTAGCCACATCTGTAACATTGGCAACAGTGCTTAGTTCTCTTCTCTATTTCCACTTCCTTTTGACCATAGCCAGCACCCTAAAAATGGCCCAGAGGAGATGAAGCATAAAGGCGAGATGACAAAAAGGACAGGAGGGTATTTAGGAATGATTGGGAGGTGAGGAAAAGAGATTTAAGTTTCATAGAGTTTTAATATTTATACCAGGTACAATTTTAATTTCCTGGCCAACTTGTGAAATGATGAGCCATCATTATTATTATTATTAGTGGTAGTAGGTAATAGTAATAATAATTTTTAAGAGAAGATTATTTTGGTTCCTTCATATCTAAGGATTTCCACATCTAGGTCAGAATAGTTTATTATCTTTAACCACATGATAATGCTTGAATTAGTTTTATGCATCATAAGTTTTCCTTAACTATTCTCTTGCTACTGGTTTGGGCTATTTCCTTTCCAAGAAGGCAAGATTCACTTAAGTAAACAATTTCTAAGTCTCCTAACCTGCAAGAAAAAAGTGACTTTCTTTCATTTCCTCAGAGTGAAATGTAGTTGAATAAATAAGTTCCCAGGAAGATATTTTAACTGGAAAATCCAGTTTGTAGCATATGGAAACTCAAACAGTTTTTGTTATCATTAAACCAAACACACCACTAACTTTATTTTAATAATTCATGCATTGTCTCATAAACAAAAGCAAACAAGCATTCATCTGAGAGATCACTTTTAAGAAAGGAAATAATAATTTATAATTTTATTTATTATTTCTTTAGTGGAGAGCAGTCTCTTGGCTGAACACAGGTTGCTTTTTTATTTATGTAACGGTGCATGCATTATTAAAATAAACCCGCGACTGCGTTCTGCTTAATGATATGCAAAATTATTTGAGGTTGGGTACAGAGTGGTTTCATTTCTCTACCTGTTGTATGGTTGGCTGGCTTTCCCACCAACTGTGGATTTATGAGAGCATTTAAGGAGCACATATTTAATTCTGGAACCAAAAAGCCCCAGCAGATTGGAAGAATAAAAGCAGGATTTCTAGCAATGGTTTTACCTCTGAGCAGTCCTTGAGTGAGGAGGGGAGAAGGAGAAGACATTTAGCAAGGAAAGGAATGGGTCTTTCCCTATCTGTCAGAGGCAGAGACTCAGAGGCAAAAGCTTTGCTCCCCCTACCCAATGGTAATCTCAGGCAATTCTTTGGAGCTCTGCTGTGTGCTCCAGCTTGCCCCATGTGCTCTCCAGGGCTTCCTGATTCCCTCCAAGCATTTAAAGCCAGAGTCAGAGATTCAAGTCCTGTTCTCTCCTTCCCTCACCTACTCTGCCCCAGGCAGCAGAATGAGGGAAAATCACCTCAAATGTACTTGAAGTTGGATTTTCTTTGTCATCCGGTAAACTATCTGACTTGTTTTTTAAAGGTATTTATTAAGATCCCGGAAAATGTGTGTTCAACACTTTGGATAGTTATTATAAAAATACTGGAGGAATTTTATTTATTTTTTATAGCTCATAAACGGTTTGGGTTGGCAGGCATTTCAGAGGTTGTACCATGTGAAGGGCCAATTGCCCAGCCTGAGTCATTTACCCAAGTGTTACAGGGAACGTAGATTCAGTGGGCCAGTGAGTCTGGTCTCACTTGATTGTACACATTGTGACAATGACAGCATCAGAATGGAAAAGATAAAGTACTTGCCTGTCATTCTATGGCACAGCAGAATATGGGTTATGAACAGGAAGACCTACCTTATGATTCTGCAGCAAGATGATCACCAAGTGATCTATGTGGTGGGCTATGCTTTGGGCACAAAGCAGGCAATACCACCCTAGAATAACTTCCATGACTTCTCAAGGCTGAAATCCCACCATTATAGGATCATCTTTCCAGATCTTTAAAATACTATATTATAAACTTCCTCTTCTGAGATTAGTCTGGGGCAGGGTTGGTACCTGCTGTAGATATGCACTTGGGGTCCCAGGAAAGGGTGGAAGGGTGAAGGGATAGTCTTCTCCTTCATCGCATTTCTCCCTGACCCTGGTGAATAGCACCTTCTGGTTTTATGGAAATAGGGTAGGATTCTGGGATGATCTTGCTTTCTCTATAAGAAACATGCAATAAAATCATATTTGCAAAATGTTTCCTGATAGAAGAATATTTATTAAATTCACCAAGTCCCCGTTTCCTGTCTCTGAGCCCTCACATATTTTTAATATGACGCTTGGCAGTTTCATTATCCCCATTTTCCAGTTTGAAAGCCCATCCACAGAAATAGAAGGTTGTTCTCTCTAGAGCTGACACTGGGTTTGCAATGAGACTGAAACCAAGAGAAGGTTTTGGCTCTTCTCCATCAGAACTTGACAAGAAAAACATTTATGGATTCTTTTGGTTCTCAGGATATTAAGCTGTATCTTGTCAATCATTTTCTCTAAGAATGCCCTTTTATTTTCTTGTTTGTACAGGGAGCTGTAGTCACAGTGGTGTGTTGAACATCAGCAGTCCGGCAGTAGTTCAGCTCAACTGGAGAGGGTTCTCCTACAAGTACGGTGCCTGGGGTCGGGATTACTCTCCCGAGGATCCAGGGAAAGGGCTGTATTGGGTGGCACCTTTGGAAACAGATCGGAGAACTTTCCAATATTACAGACTCTACAACACACTGGATGATTTGCTATTGTACACAAATGCCCGACAGTATGAGATTAAATATGGCCAAGGCAGTGGTACAGTAGTTTACAAAAACAACATGTATGTCAACTGGTACGATACCCGGAACATTGCCAAAGTTAACTTGACCACCAACACGGTTGCTGTAACTCGAACTCTCCCTGATGCTGCCTATAATAACCGCTTTTCATATGCTAATGTTGATTGGCAAGACATTGACTTGGCTGTGGATGAGAATGGATTGTGGGTGATTTATTCAACTGAAGCCAGCACTGGTAACATGGTGATTAGTAAACTCAGTGACACCTCGCTTGTGGTGCTAAACACTTGGCATACCAAGCAGTATAAACCATCTGTTTCTAACGCCTTCATGGTATGTGGGGTTCTGTATGCCACTCGTACTCTGAGCACTAGAACAGAAGAGATTTTCTACTACTATGACACAAACACAGGGAAAGAGGGCAAACTAGACATTATAATGCATAAGATGCAGGAAAAAGTGCAGAGCATTAACTATCACCCTTTTGACCAGAAACTTTTTGTCTATAATGATGGTTACCTTCTGAATTATGATGTTATCTTCAAGAGGAACCCAAGCAAGCAATACTCATTTGATATTTAGGATGTGAGAGAAATAAAATGTTTGTTGGAAAAATGGTCTTCTCCACTTATTTAGATAGCTGCAGGGGGATCCAGGAGTATATTTGCTTAGTAGTAATATTTGGGAGCATAATTCTACCAGAGACTTAGGATATTTGCCCTGATTTGACGAGTTTTCTTGGAAGCCATCTGCCTCTAAGGATGCATTTCCCTTCTGAAATAAGGTCCTTGCAGGGGGATGGGATTGTCAGAGGTCTAGGGGCTTTATGGGTCCAAGGAAGCCATCAGTGAAGTGACATCTGGAAATTAAGGAACTTAAAGAGAACTCTGTATGGCTTCTGGGGATTCTTTGTACAGGAAAGAGTGCTCAATGACCAGTTCTCCTCCATGTAGCCTGGCTAATTCTTCCATACCCGAAACAAACCTGGGGCTTAATTAGGCAGATTAATATCTGAAGCTCCCTGAAGGACCAAATCTCCAATTTTGTTTTTCTTACTAGCACCTAGAATAATGTTTTGTATGAGGCAGATAAGTAAATTTAGCATGCTTATATTATACCTGGAAAATGCTCTGAGTTTTCTGGAGATAGGCTCTTTTATGCATTAAGTTGTACACTGCAAGTCAGTCCCAGATGGATCTGTAGAGGAAGTGCTTGATTTTTCTTTTCTCCCATTGTCGACCTACATAAGAGTCAGTAGAACCCTGCTACCTCATAGCTTCATTCCAAAGGCAGCTCAGAAGATTAGAACCAGATTCACCAACATATTCCCCCCATCCCCTCCCTACTTCCTACTTAAAAAATATTAACCAGTTTTTCATGGAACAGATAAAAGAGAAAGAAAACTAATTTTATTTTGTCTCATCATGAACTTTTACTTACATGACTCTAAGACTATTAAAAAATCAGATAGCAGTGGTAAAATAATAGCATATCTGGTTACATAATAAAGCCCTTGGAGCATATGTGAGACTTGTATTAAGTCATATCAATTGTTTCATGCAATTTTTGTCTTTGTTTAAGCCTGAAACTTGTAAGAAAATGAAATTTTAATATTTTTGGAGGAAGAAATGTAAAAAAACCATTGAAAGCATCTAGTAAATCAGTGTAATTTGAAAACCTTGCGGGTGTATGTGCCTCTGTGCTCTTGGATGGCTTTATCATGTGGTCTTGGTGTATTTTCCTTTGCTGTTTATGAGTCCTAGTCTATACGATTGGCTTCTTACATGCTGTACTCTTCCCCTTTTAATAAATGATTAAAATGTGTTTTGAAAAAAATATTTTCTTTTGTTTTTCTTACTCTTTTATTTTATTATTAAAAAACCTGTTAATAGCGTAGTTCACACCTTGCTGAGGGGTCCAGGGAATGGCTACCTCCCAAACGCCAATGCCCAGGAGATCATACATCTCACAGCAGATAACATCAACAGCTTTGAAAGGAGTCCAAAGTCAGGGCTGGCTCTTTAGTTTTCATTTCCTTTTAAAATCCATTCTTTCTGGCAGCTTTTGTTGTATGAGGCTGCACTCTTTTCTTTTGGGATATGACCTTATGTACTTATTAATTTGCCTGACTGATCTGATTATTTCCAACGTTAGACTATATTTGTGCGGCTTATGTTCCTTTTCCAGCTGAGCTATTAACATGGGTCAGAAACCTCCAGATCATCCCCAAACAGGAGGTCTTAGACAGAAAGCAGAGGGACTAACTGCCTGTATTGAGGAGAGAAGCACCTTTATCGAACAGAATGTGTAGGGGCTCAGGTGACCTAGAGCCGGAAGGACAGACAGTCTAGGCTCGTGTAGTTAGTTTTACCGAAATGCTCAGTTCTAAATCATGCCAAGCTTTTTGAGGCAGGTGGTAGCTACAATATTTAGAATTTTTAGCAAGATTTTTCTCTGTCTTTCAGAGCTGAATGTAGAGATGGGAATGGCCATCAAAATGCAACAAGAAATGAAGATAAAGACAGGTATGTCATGTGAGATATAAGTTAAAAACAATGATGTTATATTTAATCTGGCTCTAGGCAGTTTTCCAGATGAATGTTTCTACCAAATACACAGTTACTGACCTCTGAAGATTCGGGAAAGGAGGCAGGAAGCCAAGGTAACCCTGGTAATCAACTTCTTATTTAAACTGCTACAAAAGCAATTGTCAGAAAATTCTCTTCAGAACCTTCTTCGCACTGGATGAGGTGTATTGCCTGCAGGATATCTCCCCTCTGTGGAGGTTGAACAGCTGAGGGATTCAGGTTGGATGGTTTACAGCAATGCTGTTATACGATGGAAATTTTAGCTCAACATTCATCAGCTAGGGCCCTTTGGGGGAAAAAATGTGTATATATATTTAAATCAGTTTTATTGAGATGTAATTTACATGCGGTAAAATCTGGCAATTTAAAGCGTAAGGTTAAATGAGTTTTGACAAATGTATACAGTTGTGTAAAGTCTACCACAATTAGGATATAAAACATTTCCGTCCTTCCCCAAAAGTTTTCTCATTCCATTTGGTAGTCAACTCCTCCCCTCATCTCCCAGCCCCTGGCAACCACTGATCTGTTTTCTATCTCTATGGAATCATATAATATGTAGCCCTTTGAGTTTGGCTTCTTCAGGTTTCCTCTTGAAAAAGAGAACTAGAGGGCTCAAATTACCCCAGAGGGTAACTGAACATTGCCAGTGGTTCTCAGGGTTCCCTCAATTTTTATTAGTTTTTGGGAGATTGGATAGGGAAGTGTGGAGAGCTATGGTTACCCGCTGCCTTGATAAGTGTTCCCTAGTGACCTAGAATTGCCATGGGAGGGGTCTAGCTCTGGGCATCAATCAAGCCTACCTGGCAGCACTTCCAAAACCTGAAAGTTCCCTTGCCACCAGCCTAATTCAATGTTTGTTCTCCAATCTCTACCCCTGTGCCACAAGCATCTCTACTGAGGTGAGTCCTGGTACTAATAAATAATGCATAGTGGGTAAGAGGGCAGGATTTGGAGTCAAGCAAAACTGGATTTGATTCTTGGTTCTGCTGCTTACAAGTGGTGTGGCTTTGGGCAAGTTCCTTAATTTTTCTGAGACTCAATGTCATTTTCTGTATAATGGAATAAAACCACTTACCTCTGAGTCCTGTTGGGTGATTTAAATGGTATTAAGTAAATAAAGTTTAGTACAGTTTTTGGCACACGCTCTGCCCTCAACAAAGAGTTATTATCCCATTTTATTATCATTTTGAATTTTAGGTTCAGAGTGGTCACTGGGTTGACAAGGTATAAAGCTAATTGGGATCAGAGTTTACATCTCCCTGTAAGACTTGTTGTTAAGTAGTAACTCTTTAAGCAGGTGCCATTTTGGCGTGAAAGAGATCCAAAGGCTGGAATATGCTCTTTTCCCTCAACTCTAAGATTGATGCTCAGAGCTGATGTTTTCAGTGTTCTGACTCCAAAAGACAGACTGACACAAGCAGCAGAAACTGAGGCTGCTTCTCCTTTCTTTTGAGCCACTGAAAACCTAAATGAAGGTTGGCTTTCATCAAGCCCCATGGGTGGAACCAAAATAGATGCACACGTACTCCTACTTGCTTTCCTGTCATCGACAAGACCATCAGTCTTCTCGGAACAGGGATGGGTATTTACTTTGTACTCTACTTTTAGTAAAATATATTTATCTTTTAGGATTTGTTTACATTGCTAGCCTTAAGAGTATGTTTTTTCCTCTCCTTTGTTCGCGAGCCACTGAAAGGGAAATGACAATGGATGGACTGAGAGCGACTGTGTGGCTGCCTTCAGGATGACATAGGGAGGTTTGGGCCCGAGCCCTCAGTCATCTCAAACAGACGTCACACCATGAAGGATGATTAGCCTCCTGTGCTCCAGAATGTTCCAGAACAACAAAAGGATGAATTGTGACACTTCAGAAAATAAAAGGCAGGCACGTTTCTAAGGCGTGCTCCCAGCCAGTGGAACAGACCAGCTGGCCTGGCTCATGGATGAGAGATGCTATTTGAGTTGTCAGTTTGGTTGCCAGGCCTCACATCTGTAGCTCGGGATGCGCCCACTTGTCTCTGAGACCTGCGTCTGCTCCTGAAACTCATTCAAAGGGAACAGCCCTTGGAATTAAGGTCCATTGTGGAGAAAGATGGACTTCAATCTGTCCAGAGGGGAGGCTTTTTCTTGGGTGCCACCCCTAGACTCTTGGAACGGGGGGTTCCACTGTGAGGATGGTTTCCCAGACCTTAGCCCCAGAGGAACATTAAAGAAAGATCTGTGGTGTGTTTGGGGCTTCTATGTGGTCTTTTTGGAGCTCAGTGTACGTGGTGGGTTGAGGATGAGGATGGGATACGGGCAGGAGCCAGGGTTTACATGACATCAAAGGAATTTCATTCCTGAGCCTCTACCCAGGAAATTTATACTGACTCCAGGTTTCTCTTTTTAGGTGGATTCTGCCAGCTCATGTGTTCTCTTTCTTTGTGGCCTATAATGTTTTAATGTCAGTATTACCAGTGACTTACTCTGACTCTCAACTTGATAGCTATTATCAGTCAGAGTTCAGTGCAGAAACAGAAGCAACTTCTTTTAACTGGGGTGCTGCTAACTCCCATATTAGATAAACCTCACAATCCCAGTGACTTAGCACAATAGCAGGATTTTTCTCCTTCACTTCAGTGACCACTGCTTTCACCATTTGTCCTTGGTCGTCACATCTATACCATCTTCCTCATCTTCAACACCTTTTTTTCTGCCTCACGCACCAGCTATGGTTTTGTCCGGTGCCACCATGATGGGATACAGCTTCTCTTCCAAGATGACTCTCTTCCAAACAGTGATTCAGGGACCCAGGCTGGTTCCATTCCATCCTGTGGCTCCACCATTTCCAGACATAGCTTCCAAGGTCATTGTGCTTGTCTGCATCAGATAAGTAGAAGGGAGAAGAGCATGGAGGATCTTAGGTGGTGGTTGTTTAGCTCAGGGCTGAAAGCGATGTCCAATTGTGATGGATTGTGATGGCTCCCAATCCATTAACATAGCATCACATGTAAC